ATCTTAGTGAATTGAGTGGGACGGACTCCCAAGTGGCGATGCATAGGATTGCAGCTTTAATTGTTTGTCCTCTAAGCACTTCTTTGTTGGGGATCAGAAAGTAAGAAGCGGCAATAAACACTTCATTAATTTTCAAATTTCTGGATGATTGTTAAACTAGTGTGACATTCAGATGTTTCATTATGGTTTCCTGCGTTTTATAATTACATGAGCATTCAGGTCTAGTAGCAAAGCTGTTCTGTTCCTTGTTTTTTGTGGGCTTTGTTTGTCTTTGTTCCCCCCCCCCCCCGATGATTCACATTTGAGATTCAGTAAATAGAACCTTGCTACTTGTGTGAAGCTGTCATTTAACCATGAAATGAAATGCTTTTATTGAGTTTGCCCTGCAGATATGGTCCGCTGTGGCAGTGCTGTCCATATTTGGTGGCTGTGCAAGGAGAGCCAGGTGGTGCTGCAAAGCATAGCACAGTGAAGCGTGGACAGATCTAGGTTTGACATTTGTCATCCTTCACTGCTGAAGGGGAGAGAAAAATCTGCTTTTCCATATGCTACTGCTCTAATTTTTGCCTGCAGTTTTGTCCAGATGGCTTTGTGAGCATTGTTTACTTTAAGATGTTGTCCCAGATGTTGTCGAATGCCGATGGATAAATGCAACAACTGCTGTAGACCAATATGTAAATTAAGTACACCGTTTTGGCTTTTTAAAAATGTAACCAATGTGTTCCATTTACATGTCTTATAATTTTTTTTTTGGGGGGGAGGGGGAATACTCCCTACTATAGTTTACTTTTTCAGTGGGATAAATTGGATAGATGCTGGACCTGGACCAGCAAGACCTGAGTTCAAATTTCTGCTCAGCCATGAAATTCATTGGGTGACCTTAGGCCAGTCACTATCACTCAACCTAACTTTATTTCGAGGTGTGGTTATGAATATAAAATAAAGGGATAACCCATATATCAGATCTTATAAAGGTGGAATAAAATTGTGATTTTAGGTTCCAAACTCACTTCTGTCTTTGCTGGCTCAATGCTGTAGGTAACCTATAAGTCTTGTGCATTAGAGATGTTGGAAATGTTAGAAATTGTGTCAGTGAGGGGGATTATTATAGGTGCTCTGTGTGGAAATTACAGGCGTCAGGTAGGCGGAGTTCATTTGTTACTTCCCAAGTTCTGTTCTGACGGAAATAAATTTAGTGTGTATTCCAGTAAGATGGTGCTACTATTATACCCTTTTGGTTAACTGCAAAGACTCTGTTCTGTTTATGAATCCCACTGAAAGGATTAGAAGTATTAGAATGGCATGTATATTGAACTATTGTGACATTATTTTGTAAAATAATATCATGTAAGTTCTAACCACCTAAAGAAATACTATAATGATAGGACTTCATTTGTTTTCAGCAGTGGTATATTCTATCATCTTCATGTTTGTGATCACACTTTTGTGTATGTTACAACTTAACAGAATTTATTTTAAAAGAACGGAAGTTAGGTATCAGTGTTGCTTGACAGACTTCGTCTCTTATGTTCTTATGTTCTTATGTTCTTATCTTCATGTTTGTGATCACACTTTTGTGTATGTTACAACTTAACAGAATTTATTTTAAAAGAACGGAAGTTAGGTATCAGTGTTGCTTTACAGACTTCATTGTTAGGGAAACTTTGTGTGGTGGCATTCTTCCTACACAGAGATTAATTTTGATTAGGAAAAGTATACATATTGACAAAAAACGTGTGCTGCATTTCACATAAATTTGATAGTTGCACATGTATTTGTTATGTATATGGCTTTTATGTGTACAGAAATTAAGAAACTAGTTCAGTATGCAAAAAAAAAGGGGGGACGTGCATTAAACCCTGAATTTCCTGGCATGTTGTGTTTGGTTACACTGGCCCATGTTAGTAGCTTTGAGACTACTCTTTATGAACAGTATAGTTATGAACCTGATTGGGGAGGTTTTATGTGTGTGAAAAGTGGAATTGCAAATCCAGGCAAATTTCAAAAATGAGCCTTGTCTGGAAGGCAGGAAATTATTTCAACTATTCAATATCAGCTGTAACAGGTACTTTAAAATATTTATTTTCTTATAAAATAGAAGTATAGTCTTCCCCCTTCCCCCGCAGTCTTGGAGGCTAGAGAAATCTGGGACTAATGTACAGGGAAGTCTTTTGGCTTCAGTGTTCTATTAATGTAAATAGGTCTGTTTAGTTACTTCTCAGGAACACTTAATGAGTCTTCGGTATGTAACTCATTAGGACAAATACATGAGTTCATATGTCAAAATGTAGATTGCAGCACTGCAGCTCTTGGCATCCATTAAGTCCATAACTTGTTCACATTGACATGCATTGTTAATCAATACTTGAAATGCTCTAGATGTCAGTAATGTTCATATTTAGTGCAGCTGTTACAACAATATGAAAGTTGCTAGTAGAAATCTAGGCTAAATAATGCGTCTCAAGTCTTTTTGTTACCTCTAGGCTACAAGTTAATGGCTGTCTAACTTCACTGCCCCATTTCTCTTTAAGTACTAAGTCAAATAGGAAAGTGCAAGGACACTGTACTGGTAGCATATTATGTTACTATTTATTAAATATATATGGGTTTCTAAGGTTTAAAACAATCTTCTATGCATCTGGCTCTAGATTAACCAACTTTCTGCCTAATGGCAAAATTAGTTTAGACAGAGAAGGCTACAAAGCTGTCATCAAAGAAAATGTAGTTTCTATCAATGTGTTACAGACTAATTTGAACTTTTGTTTGAGTGGAGGGCAGAAGGTTATAAATCTCATTGCTGCCACCAGTGGAATGTTTTCATTATAAATCTGCCTTTCTGGAAGCTGGAGATACAGTCTCGTATTTACATGTTTCATAAATGTGCTGTTCAGGCCATGTAACTTGTTGAATCCCCTATGTAAAGTGCTGTTGTCACCTCCAATTTATGGCGACTCCATAGGGTTTTCAAGGCAAGACACATTCAGAGGTGGTTTGCCGTTGCCTGCTTCTGTGTAGGAACTCTGGACTTCTTGGTGGTCTCCCATCCAAATACTAATCAGGGCCAACCTTGCTTAGCTTCCAAGATCTGACAAGAGTGGACTAGCTGGGGCTATCCAGATCAAGGTGCTGAGCCCTATGCCGTACCACAAATTGCTTTTGACATTTCCCATAATTTGCATAGCAGTTTGTAATGAGGCATAGGGTTCTTGTGGTTAAGAAAAAGAAATGTAAGCTCACAGTTCTCTAAATTCACTAAACTCTTAATTTATACATAAGAGTGTAATTTATACATAAATCATACATAAGAGAGAACATATACACCAAAGGTCCCCAACATGGTGCCTGTCAACACCTTTCCTGGTGCTCACCAAGTATTTTGAGAAAGTGAGTGGGTCCAGGTGCGGCCTTTGACAAGCAAGGCTTCTGATTGGCCTTTGGAGATTTAATTGGCTGTGCACATGTTTAAAAATGTGGCTTTAGTAGCAGCTGCTACCACAGCAAAAGGATCTTTAATGTATGACTGAAGGTTCTCTGCAGCAGACATTTTGTGGCTGGTACCATCTCCTGAGGCAGCCATTTTGTGGCTGTGTCCACCATGCTACGTCGAAATTACAAAGGTGCCTGCAAGCTCAAAAAGGTAGGGGACCCTTGGTGGTATACACTGTAAGGGATGAATACACTAAGGTCACTATTAATTTTATTTATGTTATTTATAGGCCACCTTTCTTCCTGGGATTCAAGGTGTATTACACGGAGTAAGTCAGTACAATAAAAAAGATGGGACATTCGATAATGACAAGGATTTGGGTTGTAGATGTCTTAAGAACAGAACAGAACTGAAGCGAAGCATAAGTGTTTACACGACACATAGAATGATGCAGAATTACATAATAGGATCTAACCCACAGCAAACTATACACAGTAATACAGAAAACAGTCCCCCAAAATGTATCCAAGTAACTTTGTGAAGCCTTTTATATAGTACTACCCTTTTGCCTGTGTAGAAAAGTGCTCTTGAATAATTCAGTTTTGTGTCGTTTGTGGAAAGCCAGGAAAGTGGGAGCCTTTCTGACTGCCTCAGGCAGGCCATTCCAGCAGGTGGGGGCCACACTGGAGAAGGCACATGTACAGGCAGTTTATGTGTTTGTTTATTTGCAGGTTGCCACCTGCAGAAGGCCCTGCTCACAATAGCTAGACATTATTTAGGCATTTTCTCCATCATACTCACTGTTTGCAAATTCACAAAGTAATATATCCAATGTGGTGTAGCAACTAGAATGTTAAATTAGGACTAGGGAGACCTGAGTTCAAATGTTGTTCGGCCACAAAAACCATTGAGTGGCTATAATCCAGTCACTCTCAACTCAAGAATTGTTGTGAAGGAAAAACGGGGGTGGAGAACCATGTATACTACAACAATTGTATTATCTGCTCTGGCTGGCAGTGGTCCTCCAGGATCTTGCATATAGGCCTGTCATATCACCTACTATTGGATTTTTTCTAACTGGGGAGGGTGGCGATTGAACCTGGGACGATCATGGTGAGAGCCAGTGTGGTGTAGTGGTTAAGAGTGGCAGACTCTAATCTGAACAACTGGGTTTGATTCCCCATTCCTCCACATGAAGCCTGCTAGGTGATCTTTGGCCAGTCAGAATCCTCTCAGAACTCTCTCAGCCCCACCTACCTCACAAGGTGACTATTGTGGGGAGAGGAAAGGAAGGTGATTATAAGCTGCTTTGAGACTCCTTAGGGTAGTGAAAAGTGGGGTATAAAAACCAACTTTTCTTCTTCATCTGCATGCAAAGCCATGGCGTCACTCAAAAATGTGGTGGGTAGATGGTAACAAATATCTTACAAACTCATTGTTATTTCAAATTGTGTTTCATCATTTAGTATGTGTAATTAATTTCACTGTTTTGCCTTTTAAACAGACTTGTGAGCGCCAACCTTTTAACAACACTTGATGGTGCTAATAGGTATATATATGTGTGTTATTGCAGGTTCATCATCAAAAAATATATGGTTAAATGAAGAGAACAATGACACAAGTGATGTATTAAAGGGAAGAAGGATCAGTTCCAGTTGGGCATCAATTCCAGTTAAAGGAATTAATAATTTAGGAAACACTTGCTTCTTTAATGCTGTTATACAGGTAAGGTAAAACTTGGGTCTCTGCTCCCAAGTATAGCTGTCTAAAAAAATAAAGCTCAGGTGGCTTCATTCACTTAGCAACGCTGTATTCTTCTTCCTTTGTAATTCTGACTGATCCTAAGCTTTTTACCTGATAATGTGCATACATTTTCATATATCATTTACAGTATATCAGGATCCTCATTCTTAACTCAGAGATCATTCTTGCTCTATGAGGGAGAAAATCTTGTCATTGGTGATTGCCATATGTCCATCAAGGAGACAAGACCAAATCTTGGCACTTCCTGTCTGCTGAGTTGGAGTCACCAATTGGTTTAATTCATTTCCTGTCTTACCAGGGAACTCGAACTTTTTGCAGGAGCTGCTAGAGCAGAGGTGTCAAACTAAATTGTTATGAGTGTTGGATCTGACACAAGTGTCACTTTGTTGGTCCGGGCCATGTGTGCCATAAAACGTAATGCCAGGAACTGGAGATATAAACTGTATAAAAGACAGCAGCTGGTAGGCTCTGAGTTGTTATATCCTCACTGCAAGGCCCCATGGGCTGGGAAGGGGGGCGCAAAGGAAGACCCATATGGGCACACTGGAGAGCCAGCGGGCAGCACTGGGCAAATGCTCCAATTTTGCTTGACTGCTGCAGATGAGGTTGTTCTGCTGTGCTGAAACCACTCCCCCTGAGAAGTCTCCTGTTTCCTCTCTTGCACTAGTTGCTTATGAGCTGCATAAGAGCCCTGGACGGACCAGTTCTGGCCCCCAGGCCTTATGTTTGACACCCCTTCATATGTAGTCATAGCAGACTTCTTTAAAAGTCACATTATTCCAAATTTTAAGTTTTAATCAAGAAATGCCTGTGTCTTGATGATATACCATACAATTCACATATTAATACTCGGAATAAAAGAACCATGCAATACTTTTTTGTGGAGATAGATCTAGATGAGTAGCTGTGTTAGTCTGTCTGTAGCAGTAGAAAAGAGCAAGAGTCCAGTAGCACCTAAAAGATTAACAAAATTTGTGGCAGGATATGAGCTTTCATGAGTCACTGCTCACTTCTTCAGATACAGCTAGAATGTGAGTCCATCTGTCCTATATATTGGAAAGTGGAGTGATTTCAGATGCTAAATGGCAGCCAAATGACAATAGTAGTTGCAATTCGGCAGTCTCTCTTTCTAATCTCCCTTTGAAATTCCTTTGTAAGAGAACTGCTTTGTAAGCAAAGGAATTTCAAAGGGAGATTAGAAAGAGGTATTGCAACTGTAACAAAGCTCAAAACAATGCATTCTCCTGGACTTAATCGAGTACTAGGTTTCCTGTCTCATTACCAATGCTGATTTCTCCATGCCTACTACCCCTCTGCATATCACATCTAATCCAACAATGTCTGCTGTTGTCATTTGCCTGCTAATTCATTTGGCATCTGAAATCACTCCACTTTCCAATATATAGGACAGATGGACTCCCATTCTAGCTGTATCTGAAGAAGTGAGCAGTGACTCACGAAAGCACATACCCTGCCACAAATTTTGTTAGTCTTTTAGGTGCTACTGGACTCTTGATCTTTTCCTCTTAACGCCTAGGTGGGCACATACAAATGCACTGCTCAGTTGCAGGTCCTCCTTTTATTCAGTCCCACTCCATGCTAAAAAATAAAACTCTCTCTTCCATGCTCCCAAATGCAGGATTCATACAACTAATTCTGTGAGCACAGGTGAATTTTACCATTTAAAAAGTGTTCTTGGCTCTTTAAAAACTAAAGGTAATTTCAGAAGCAGTTGGTAATGTGGCATGGACAACTGCACTGAAAGAACAGGTCAAAATTTTTGCTTGGGCATGCACAACCTTTTCAGCAGGCCCAAAGGAGCACTCTAGATTTTAACCATGGCTTTTTCTAATGACAACTATACTTTCTACAGGTCATGTTCCCCTTCAATAAGAATTTATTATTATGTTCATTTAGTTGATAAATATCAATTGCATTTTTCCTGTTTTCTCTAGAACTTGGCACAGACACATTTGTTAAATGAGCTAATGTGTGAAATGAAGGAAAAGGGGACAAAGTTGAAAATAGGTCAAAATCCACTATCCCAACTGGTAAGCACTTAGTGAAACTTGCAACTTTGTGTGAAATACTCAGTCAAGGATACCTTCTTTGAGAAGAATATTTTCTGGATACTGCAAAGCAATCGTAATTAATATATTTTCTGTCTTTTTTAAAAAAAAATGTGTACAGCAGTTTATGCACATATAAAATCTATATAAAATCAAGGGTCAAATGGTCATATGGCTGCTCTTTGAGTGCTGAATTAAAATATAAATCTGACCTGGCTCCTGTCCTGGAGAAGAAATTAATGTCTTTGTCTCTCATTTCCAGTTTCAATACACAAAGGTACTTGGTCTAGATTTGTTCTGTCTGTACTCCGTAAAACCATATTTTGATTCTCTTTGTCCTGTTAAATTGCTAAATATCACTCTTTAGTCCAACCAGTTTCAAAACATTTGCCATCTTCTGTTCTGCTTGAGTGCAGAATATCCTGTCTTAAAGACAGAAATGCTATTTTTGTCCCCTTCACAGAAAAAACTGTAAAAAGCCCTAAATAGTCTAGATGGAATTTTGTTTGTTTGATTTTTTAAAAATAAATTGTATCAACTGTTTAAATTGTAAATTAAGAACAAGCATTCTTCTCTGCTTCTAAAATCTCTGAAATGTGTTTTGGTCCCACAGGATCCTTTGGTAGTCTGCCTCTCAAGCCCTGGATCACTGACTTCAGCTATGTTCCTGTTCCTTCACAGCATGAAAGAAGCTGGAAGGGGTCCCCTTTCTCCTAAAGTTCTTTTCAGCCAGCTCTGTCAAAAGTAAGACTAACTTTATGTCAGTAACATGTTTCCCATGGATGGTGTCTTAACACGAAATTCTGCATGTAACATAAAACTTTCCTGAGAAGTATTCTGTAGCACAGTAGAAATGTTTTGTTTAAAAGAAAAGGATAGAATGAAGCATTTTGATTTTGAGGATTTTTTCCTCTTTAATAGTTAGGTTATGAGGGGGGAAAAGAAACTGATGATTCTTTCCATAGCAACTGTTTAGCGTCTGGTACTAATTCATCCACTGTTAATTTTGTTAGTGTTGCAGCTGTCAGACGTTTTGCTAAGACAGATTGTATGCATAGCTACAGGGCCCTTCTGTTTGTTTTCCACTATTCTGAATATTAGGGATGTGGACTTCTAACTTATCTAGAGACTTAGTAGCTTGCAACATTTATGTACTAAGAGGTCATAAATAATTCCTCTGTTATGGCTGAGTAATTTTATCAGTGGAAGAAATTGTGAAGCCAGGTATTATGGCAGTAGAGTCATTAAGTAGATTTTCAGATAATTAGGAAAGTGGAGCTTCTGTTCTGCTTAGTTTGATCACAAGAATGCTGTTTTTATTCTTGTTCCTTTAATATCACTGGAAAACTGTCAATAATATCGTGGTAGTTGGTGATGTCTCTCTTTCTTTGAATTTTGATCACAAAAAAGGATTGACTTCTAAAGAAGAGAGTAGGCAATTCACGTAGGGGGAAAAACATAAATTTCTCTGGTCTTCCTAATCACAGAAAATCCATTGGGACATATTTGATGCAAATATTTATCTGGATAAATATTTAGTATCAAAGAAACATAAGCATCTATGGTTTGAACGATTGATTTTAATAAATATAAAATAGGAATAAATATTCGTTTGCGTTTTTGTTCCTATAGTTCTGAGAGATTCTGCAAATATACAGCTACTTTAGTTTTCACAGTGTTAGTATTTGGGAGGGGGAGAACTGTAACATTTTCTGAACAAAGTATTTCATTAAGGGTCCAAAGGAATTATAAACTATTTCATACCATAAATAGACATTGCTTCATTGCTGTTATTTGAGGTACCATTCTATTTTTTTCCAAGTAAATTTTAATCATTATTTGGGATCGGATAATAGACTGTACACTTCAGTTACCTGTATGGTGTCCAATTCAGAAATAAATTACCAACATACTTCTGGTTTACATGGCAATAGAAAGTCATTGATGATTTTTTAGTTTAATGTACTGTAGAAGTATTTGTGATCTAAGTTTAAAAATCACAAAATTCATCTGCCAAGATGTTATTGGTGTTCTCCAGTTTCTTCCATGTATAAATTATTCAGTGCCTTCGGAAGTGTCAAAGTCTGGTGGAAATGCTTGCATGCAGACAGTCCCAGGTTCAATCACTGGCATTTCTCATTATAGAATCTTGGGTAGTTGGACTGGGATGATCCTTCCTTGAAATGCCAGAGACCTGTTGCTGGTCTGAGTGGACAGTACTGGTGTGAGTGACTGTATAAGGCAGCTTTATGTGATTATCTCTGTCATTTACAATAGAGACTGTTGTTTGTTCAAGCTTTTACATGAAAAAAATCAGGTATTGAATCTCTTCCTCACATGAAGTTGAAAGGCTCAAAGGGGGGGGCAGGGTTTATTCTTGGAGCCCAGTTTCTTTCCAGCAGGGTACTAACCCTCTGGAGCATTGCGTTAGTCAAATGACACTTGAATGTTTTATAAAAAGTACGTATATTAACTCTGTGTAATTCAAACATCTTATTTGTATCAGTTGGGAATTTTAATGAGAAATAACTGCAAGATATTAGCATTGCAGTTGTATGGAATGCAGTACATATTGTGGTTTCAAACAATGGCTATTTCCACATTATCTGCTACATTTTTATCTTTCCCCCAGATGGGTCAATGCAGGATACAGTGTGTCTGGAATTGCCATCACTTCTCTCTGTGGTTTTACAAAGAATCCAAACATTGTAACTGCCAAACTGAGGCAGTGAAGTGCATTTTGTCCCTCTGTCTTTCTCAGACCTGACTTGTGGTGATTTATTTTTGGATTTGAATGAAATCCCTTTGCTTGCCTGTCAGGTGTGGACTGGCAAACCACTTTTTATACATCTGGAAGGAGGTGCATTGTAGTGATGACTTACTGCTTTCAGTTATTTTGTGCACAACAATAAAATAGGATGATTAACAAAATATTACAGCAAAATAAATAACAAATTATGGGATTGCAAAGAGGAAATGAGATTGGATAATGATGAATGATCAGTTGCAATACTGTTTTCTGTATGGGGTTGAGGCGTTTTAGGATTTCAGTGGAGATATAGCACTATAAGTGCAACTATAATTCTACTTTAAGATGACTTCTTGTTGTTCAGTCGCACAGTCGAGTCCGACTCTTCGCGACCCCATGGACTAGATCACGCCAGGCCTTCCGGTCTTCCGCCATCCTCTGAAGTTTGCTCAACTTCATGTTCGTTGCATCTATGACACTGTCTAACCATCTCATCCTTTGCCATCCCCGTCTTCTTTGACCTTCAATCTTTCCCAGCATCAGGGTCTTCTCCAGTGAGTGCTCCCTTCTCATTTGGTGGCCAAAGTATTTGAGCTTCAGTTTCATTATCTGGCCTTCCAGGGACCAGTCAGGGTTGATTTCTTTTAGGATTGACTGATTTGATCTTCTTGCAGTCCAAGGGACTCTCAAGAGTCTTCTCCAGCACCATAGTTCAAAAGAATCTATTCTTCGGCGCTCGGCCTTCCTTATAGTCCAACTTTCGCAGCCATACATGACTACCAGTTTGGTGTAGTGGTTAAGTGTGCGGACTCTAATCTGGGAGAACCGGGTTTGATTCCCCACTCCTCCACTTGCACCTGCTGATGTGACCTTGGGTCAGTCACAAGCTCTGGCACAGCTGTTCCTGAAAGAGCAGTTTGTGTCAGAGTTCTCTCAGCCCCACCCACCTCACAGGGTGTCTGTTGTGGGAAGGGGAAGGGAAAGGAGTTTGTAAGCCGCTCTGAGACTCCCTTGGGTAGTGAAGGGCGGGGTATAAATGCAATCTCTTCTTCTTCTTCTCTTCTACCGAGAATACAGTTGCTTTGACCATACGGACTTTTGCTGGCAGGGTGATGCCTCTACTTTTTATCATGCTGTTTAGGTTCGCCATCTCTTTCCTCCCAAGGAGCAGGCGTCTTTTAATTTCATGGCTGCAATCACAGTCTGCGGTGATCTGGGATCCCAGGAACGTGAAGTCTGTCACTACTTCCACAGCTTCCCCTTCTATTTGCCAAGGAGTGATGGGGCCGGATGCCATGATCTTAGTTTTTTTGATGTTGAGCTTCAAGCCCACTTTTGCGCTCTCCTCTTTTACCCTGAGCAAGAGGCTCTTGAGGTCCTCTTCACTTTCTGCCATCAGAGTGGTATCATCTGCATATCTGAGGTTGTTGATCTTTTCCCCAGCAATCTTAATTCCCACTTGTGATTCATCTGTTCCATATCCGGTTCTAACTGTTGCTTCTTGGCCCTTATACAGGTTTCTCAAGAGACATGTGAGGTGGTCTGGTACTCCCATCTCTTTAAGGACCTGCCATAGTTTGTTGTGATCCACACAGTCAAAGGCTTTAGCATAGTCAATGAAGCAGAAGTAGATGTTTTTCTGGTACTCTCTTGCTTTCTCCATAATCCAGCGAATGTTGGCAATTTGATCTCTAGTTCCTCTACCTCTTCGAAACCCAGCTTGTACTTCTGGCAGTTCTCTATCCACGTACTGTTGAAGCCTAGCTTGTAGGATCTTGAGCATGACCTTGCTAGCATGTGATATGAGTGCAATTGTGCGATAGTTTGAACACGACTACAGAATTATAGTTAAGATGACTACAGAAGAGCAAACCCTTAGCAGTACAAAGTGGACCCTGTGTCAAAGCTATGTTCCAGAAAACACTGGAGTCTTAAAGGGATGATTGATTACAGCAGTCAGACTTCTGGGAAAGAAAGGTTCCATACAACTTCCAGGTGGCACATGCTCTGTTGCTGCAGGATAATGGTTAAGAAATAAAGAGAGAATCATGGAAATGAACTACCAAAAAGAATTGTGCCATGAAGACTTACTAATTATAAATTCATATCTTATTGTAATTAATAAATGCAAGGTATACAACAATATTTGTGTGTATTGATTATTAATACTTATGCAATTCTAAGACTGAAAGTTCCAATACAAATTTGTAAAGACATTTAAACAGATATCGCATTATGCTGACAGACTTGCACCAGTCCTTTTTGAAACAAATGGAGGAAATTTTGATTGAATGGATTCTTAAGCTATACCTGCTTTGATGAAAGAAGATACCTGAAACGGAGTTGTCATAAGCTAATCCTCTGTCAGCTGGATTCACATGGAATTTCTACAGTTACTTTGAAAATGGGACACTTGAACTTAATGCTGAAATAGCACCATTTGCACTTTACTATGACTGGCTGCCAGATATCTGTTTAAATGTCCTTACAAATTTGTATTGGAACTTTCAGTCTTAGCATTGTGTAATCTTGTATAACTTGCATTTATTAATTACGATAAGATATGAATTTATAATTAGTAAGTCTTCACAGCATAATTCTTTTTGGTAGCAGGATAATGATTAGCTGTAGCAGACAGCTAACCAGTTTTTTATTTGAACTGTTTAAGTGTTCACACTAGAACATGCCCAGAGTACTAATTGCCTGTTTGACAGGCCGGTAGACATTTTTTCTACATGGAGAGCTGAAATGCAAGGTTTGGTTTAGGTCATGTGGGAGACCATGGTCCACTTCACGGCTATGCATTTCTGGACCAAAGCCAAGATTTATGCGACATAAGCTTTAATTAATGGTATAATCTGTTAAAGGTTTATATGGGGGAGGACTTTTATTTAAACCAGTCAGGGCAGTTTTAGTTGATGATTCTTAGTTAGGAACATGCTTAATGTTTTGGGCTGTTTTAGTTCTGGCATAATAGGAAATGAAAATATGGCCT